TGCTGGACAAAATTCAAATAAAACTTTCAAATGAAAGTTTACCAGTTCCCTTCTGTATGTAACAAAGTGAAACTTTTCTCGCCGCCGTTCACGCGCAAGGAATTCGTAAAGGGCGCATCGCAACCGTATATATTGTAGAATTTTTATAATAATCGTTTTCCGAGCATTCGAATGTATTTCTAGATTTAAGTATAGTTGTTGCGGTCTGTTTTTGCCACGATATGAAAAAATAAATTCGCTAATTGTATTCGTTATTGGACATGCACGTGAGTATAGAATAATTATTATTCGAATAAACCGATAGCTCATGACATCGTCGTCCGCTGAGAGTTTAAATGCATGCATCATTGATACAAAAACTTACTGTTTCACGCTGCTAAAATTAGCAACAATAATCTGAGGCAGCGCATTAAGAACAATATAATACTATAATAAAAAGGAGGTCATAATTAGCAGTTCGTACCATAGACAGACCATTATTATAGAAGGAAAGTTTAGAGTAATATATTTTATACACTGAAAGCAACTATAAAATGTTTATCAATCAGAAATCGATTCTGAGCGATGCTCAACAAACTTGTAGGAGTATAGTGAATCAGTCGTGTTTTTGTTCCGATTGATGCCAATTCAATCCAGAAATCAACAAAAATAATTCTATATACTCGTCGTCTTAATTTTCTGTTAAAATAAACATTTTTTTGAAAAAACGTTGGAAATCTAGAATAATTTTTCAAATAAACTACCTTCAATCCGAAATATTGTCATCTTTTAAGGTACTGCATGAAAAAATCAGAGAAATTTCTCTTACCAAAAATTTGTTTTCGAGAAACAAAATCTATCTTATCAAATACCTATTTTTCGAGCCATTCAGAATTTTAAAAGAATATTGATAACTATATTCGATGACAAAAAAAAAAAAAAAAAATGCCATTATGTTTATTGTCGTCAACAAGAATATGTAAGTAAGTAATTCGCACTTTTTGATCGTTTTTATGTTGAAATTATTACGTTTATTAGTACCGACTATAGAGAGAAAATATTCTTCATTAAAATAATTAGGTATGTGTGTATATTTTTAATGTTCAAAAATATTTATAGTAGGTATCATTCGTTTTCTCCGTTTTAAAACGATAACGTTTTTAGAAAACGTGGAGAGTAAAACTCGAGGCGCAAAAACCTTAAAAGCTCTTTGATTGTCTGCAAAAAGTTGTCAAAAAAAAAAAAAAAAAAAACGGATAAAATATTACAGTACAGGCTATAGTGAACGGTGATAGTAATAAAATATGTCATGATAGTAGAGTAAATTTCGATGGAAACGTCTGGGAAAGTACGACGCGACAGTAAAATAGAAAGGTACAGTATATAATAATATAGTGATAGTAACTATGATAATGTGATAGTTGCTTTCGCGAAAGTTAGGTAGTTAATATAAATCTGTTCACATCAAACGAAAGTTCTCATTAGTAAAAATCTATCATGACTCACGACAGTAACAATGTATCGTCGTTAGGATCACGGTTAAATGCCACTGTTGCTATCGTGAAATTACTTTCGCGTAAGCGACAATCGATTGCCCTCGCAATAATTTACTCACTACGATTATGTGTTTACACCACCGCGATTATAAACGTGTTAGCGATAATATAGGATTAATATATTATTATTGTTAAATTATTAGAATTATTATTCGAGAGAAAAATATAGTACAAAGGCGATTTAAATTGATTACAAATTTGATACCGTCTCAACAGGAGTCAACGGTTAATCGTTTCTAACGTATATCGATTCTAAGCGGAGTTCATTTGATAGTGATGATTGTTTAAAATTATACCGATTTTCCCGTTTTCTCTACATTTTTCCTGGTTTTGTCATATTTGTTGGAAATCAATTCCTTCTTACCTTCTTGACCTTCTTAATGTATCTCCCCAGATTTCCTTTTAGAAAAAGTGCTATCATTGTAAATCAAAAAAAAAATTATATTAGAAAAGTTGTCCGTAGAAAAAAAAAAAAAAACATTATTGTAAAACCATAGGCTTTTTCTCTGCACTCAGAATCTAAAAAATATATAAATTATTTGAGTTAGCGATAGTACAATAAATATTTTTTGAAAATATCATTATTTATTCCCCGTCTCAGTAGAAATAATTAGTAAGGGGACGCTAAAAACAAAAGAAAAAAATATAAAAATAATAGAAGAGCCCTTGCATCCCCCTCCCTAATGAAAGTATTTCTGTAAGTATTCTACTAAGGATTTCTTATTGGAGGAGTAGCAAAGAAAAAAAAAACCTAGATATATTTACTTTATTATTTATATCTGTGGTCGTACATTAATAATCTTTATGGCGACGACACCGTTGTCTTTTATTAACAATATCCGTGTTACCTAATTATTTCAATAATTGTAATATTTATTTTGTGTTAAAGAAAAATGATGTACGCAACTCTGAAAGGTCGATCGAAATTTTGGATAAATAATTCTCTATCAATTAGTGCAATAACCAGATACGTCATGACGTATTTTAATGCTGCGGTTAAAAAATACCATTATTTAAGCACGGTAATTAATAATTGTGTTCATTTCATAAAACAATTAAAATTTACTATTCATATAAGTTATCTGAAATGGATAATGTATCGCCCAATATCATAATACTTCAAAATTTTAAAATTTTACTAATGTATAAAAACATAATTATGTTAAAATTATTCAAACACGTAATTTAAATCATTTATTATATATTCAGCATAGATGAATTTGAAAAAAAAATTATACCCGATTTATAGGTATTCAAATTGAATTATATCATATTTAGGTTCGATGAATTTGTACTATTATTAATTATAATTTATTCCTTGCTTACTATTGTACATAATTTTCGATGCTGTGGGTACGTACGTTGGTTTGAGCGTGATGAAAGCTCATTTAGTTTTTCCGACCTTTGGCGTGACTTTAACAGCCCGCCAGTCGATTTGTGTGCCACTGGCGTGGTATATATTTACCCGTAAGCACCACGGATATCATCTTAACATATTTTATAAAAATCATAATTCAAGAGTAGAGAAATTAAAACACGCTACAACTATACACAGGGTAATATGTTTTATACTCATTTATGTCGAATATATAATATAAAGCATGATTCACTAAGTGTGCACACCCCATTTTTTTCGTTTATTTATTTTTTTTTTTTGGTCATATTTTCGAATACTTAGATTTTTCGAAAAAATTTAGGTGTAACCTGTAGCGATATTAACTGAGGTTTTTTTTAATGAGAACCTATATTAATAATTACATAAATAGACGAGGTTTTAATTTAAATAAATTTTAGTGTCAACCCGTTAACGAGATATTCTACTTTTAATTTTTTGTAGGAGGAAAATATTGTTTATATGGTATGACAGCGCGGCGCGTGGCGTTTTATAAGTGCTCCACTCCTCTCCCATATTTTCGCCCAGAAAAAGTACTATCGTTATAAATCGGAGCAAAATTGCTGGTAGAAAAATTGTTCACAGACAAAAAATAAGGTAGTAATACCTATATTTCTTACATTTTTCTATTAATCCACAGTTTTTTTTTCTTCGGTTTTTCGCGTTTGATGAGAAAAACTTCCGATAAATCGAAATATGAACTACCTTAAGCACCTCCTGTCAGACTTCGAAAAGATGCTACACTCAAAATTCGGGGCAAAATTTCTCGTAGAAAGTTACTTACAGATAAAAAAAAATTTTTTTTGAAACCATAAGCTTTTACGCTCCATTTAGTATCTAAAATAAAACCATGTTGTCTGTTGATATCTATTGTGGTAGTGCGGTAATTACTTACATATTTTTTACACGGTACAACAGTATAATCTGTTACGATTGCAACTATCACGTATAACTATCATCACCTCTACTCGAGTTTATAGTGTCCGGAGGATTACACTGGCAATTAAAAAAAAAAAAAAAAAACCGTTCGAACGGGCGAATTAAAACCGGAAGAAAAAACGAAATAGTGTATCGGCGGTAAAAACGGTTGCCGCAGTGAAGTAAAAAAATTAATAAAAAATAAAACAAAATTGAAAAACACAGTTTTATACGCATCGACTAAAAATCAATTTGAATTTCGTATCGGCACATCAGCACGTCATATTGTTCTACTCGGGGTATTTTTTTTATTTTTTTTAATATTATTATTATTCCGATGTTGTATATGAATCGTTAAATAATTATTGTATTAACAAGGACACGGTTGGTTTACGAACGGTTGAAAAAAAAAAAAATAAAAAAATATTAACCTTTTCACAGATGGGCAACGCTTAGCGAAAATCCCGGACACGCGATTATCGAACAAAAGCGATAGAATCCGGTCACTTCACTATGGTTATATAATTTTATCGCGACGCCTAATTATTATTGTGCAGCTGTAATTTTCGCAGTTACGTTCTAATTTCGTATTGTTATAATCGTCACGAAAGGTTTTTTTTTCCATAGTAGTATAGTCTCTTGAGATCCGTGAATAAAAAAACAAAAAAAAAAACTATACAATATTATGTATGCATATATATATTTTTATTTAATGGTACTCGGGTGTTGTCGGAACGTTATAATATTATTATGCAGTTTAATTTTTTCCACGACGCATTATGTGTAATGCGGAAAACTACTCAAATCGCGTCTCAGTTTAATTATAAATTACGAAGATATTTTTAAAATCGACGATTCGACTCCCGACGTATTGACGTGTGTATATATAATATTATAACCTAACCTATAACCAATCATAGCCGACGACAGACCGGAACAGAAATTGAAGCACGTATTTGCTGTGTCCACTTTTCGCAATGTTCTGTAAATGCAAAAAGACGTTGTTTTTCCCTGCTTAAAATGACATAACTAAAACGTTTTTGTTTTCAAAAAAGGAATTTTTATTTTTTTATTTCGTCGGCGTACGCCTACTGAAAATAATTCGTAGATTATTAAATAATCGATAATGATAATAATAATGATTTAATTATAGTAAAAAAAAGTCAATTAAATAACAGTGAATTCGTGTTTCACGCGATTGAAAAAAAAAAATAATAATAAAAAAAAATACGCGTCTGGTTTTGGCACGTTTGTGCTCAAATATGCGAATGAATTATGGCCGTAGTTGTTGGAAAAAAAAATATATTGTAATATACTTGCTAGCATTTAGTTCTAAACACGGTATTCGTCGATATTCATAAAAGTTTTATTAGCCTGCGTAAATGCGGAGTGTTCCGGGCATAGCGGATTTGAAACCACGAAATTATTAAAATGTCGCACGGAATATTTATGGTATCTAATGATTAAAAAAAAAAAAAAAAAAAAACCAATAGTGGACACGGCACTTTACGAATATCCAAAATTAATACTATTGCAATGGTCTACGAACATATAGCTTTATACAGTGTTTAATCGATTCTGCTTTTTAGCTGACGGCGAAGAAAACTAATCTAGAGTCGTTTTGTTTCTTTTTTTTTTTAAACGCGCAAACGAATCGACGTTAGAATCGTATTTTTAATTCCGAACGAAGCTATAGTAACGGTAATACCTGTTTTTATTACACGCGATGTGTGCTTTTTATTCTCTAGCGGAAAACATTTTGTCGCCGAATAAAAATGGTCCGAATTTTTCAGAGAGCATCGTAAAAGATGTAGATTTTTCGTTTACATAAACTTTATATTATGGTACTTTATTTGAAATATTTTTCTATAGATTACCGACAGTATTTCTAGAAAAATTAATAAAACATATATCGAATGATATGGCAAATATCGATTTTCTGATATAAAATTGATCTACTCAGAATCGTTTTTTGAATTCAACGGTTTATCGTTGTTTTCATTATTTTATTATAAACTAAATCATCCAATATTATTCTATACCGTTCCAATGGGCACTATCAGATCGAAGTGTCCACTATAATCCACCTTTCAATTTCCCACCAATATTGGTGCTTTTAGTATTGGTGAAAAATGGAAGGGTTCTTTTTAATGGTTCTGCCGTTTTCAATTATCCACCGGCATTAGTGGCCTACATTAATGGCGCGAAGTTTGTCCGACTTTTTTTTTATCCCCGACAGTCCGTCTCAGCAGAGCATAGTTCTAGGACATCTGCTGCCCCGGCGTAGTTCGAGTCATCTCCTTTAGTTCACTGTAAAAACACGAGCACGGTTTCAAAGAGTGGATTTTGTGGCTGTACCGTAAATTAAAGCAACGCTTATAAAATTTTCACGACCACCCTATGGATATAAATACAGGTAAAGGCCGATCGAGAAGGGCGTTTTTCCAGAAAAATCTATCGTACTTAGAGTAACCGAATTTCGAACTCGGCGGGTGGTATTGTGTACTCGCGGGGAAATATCGCTTTAACGATGCTGCGGGTTAGTGGATTTTTCTCCATTCGATTATTTATTTATATATTACGAAACCGCGCAGGCACTTGTACCGCCGAATACCGTTCTTTAATTCCGGAGAGAAAAAAAAAAAAATTATGCTACAAGTGCGTATAGAATACGATGATTGTTCGATTTTATTTTATACCGAACGAGGCAAGCAGGAATGCAGTTCTCAGGAATCTCTATTGGGGGCGGCGGTGGGAGATTTATAAATTACTCGCTCCCGTATCCCGCCAAAATTACAATAGAATACACAATTGTCATAAATATTATTATTGCTGCGCTTCATATTTAACGGGGTCTTATCTGACACATTCATACATTAGCAAAATAAGATCCGTTTTTAATGGTTTCGATGCGTCGATAATTTCTTCGGGATCAATATTACTTTGTAGTTTTCTATGGGTTCTCAACGGGCTCACAACGTGAACCCGTTGAAAGACCAAACGCCAAATCATATTCGTTATTTTATCATTTGCGTCAGTCATCGAGTTCCTTAGATATGCTTTAACAAAACAATCAGTCGTAAAATCGTATTGCACATTGACCGCGATGTACTCTGTTATACTTTTACTTATCCTTAGTATTTTTCCTCCGGGTGCTACCCTCCATTCCTCATGCTTCAACGGTAGATTTTTGCCGGATTTAGCTACTATCAAAACCGTATCATCTGCAAACGTCCAACTCGCCTTGTATTCCCTTCGTAACTACATCTATTACAACAGAAGCGGAAAAGGGTCCACGACCTAATCTCGCGCCTAATCAACCATACAGCCACACCAACTCTAACTCCGAAACTTTCGCTTTCCATATACTTCTTACACTCGTATTTGAACCTTCGTATACACCGTCTATTAAACTAATGAACAATTTCGGATCTCTTTTTCTCGTAAACGTCCACACCAGAACCTCCCTCTGCATTCTGGCGTAAGGCTTTTGTAAATTATTAACATCGACTAAAAATCGCATTGAGAAATTAAAAGGTTTTTTTTTTACATTTTAAGTATTTACACATTCTACGATTTATACAAAATTACAAATTTATTTTTCCCTACGAATGTAAACATTTTAAAATTAATATTTTGTTTCGAGTTATAAAATGTTTAGGTAAAATATTTCGGCGTTTATCATACCGTTATAAGGATTTCCTCGAACTGATAATAATAAACATAGAGAGTGTAATATTTTTTTTTTGTCTGTCGGCGGGCATTACATTATTATTATTTTTATTTTGATAACAAAAACGTAACGTACGAGTATTCGTTATATACATTTAATAATTTTAATACTGCAAAAAGGGTTTACTCATAAAAGCAAATGCATTGAAATATTCAAAACCGATTGCGCCGAACGAATTAATTTTAAAGGCAATTCGAAATACGACGGGAAAAAAATTATCGTTAAAATCGTTTTTAATATATTCATTTATTCACGTCGAAAGAAAGTATATTTTTTTTTTCTTATTGATCAATACACTATTTAAATATATGTTATTTTCCACCTGGTGATACTGTATTCAAAACAATTTTCGTGAAATTATTTTCTGGATTCTCAACGGTTTTTATAAACAATTAAAAAAACTGACAATTGACGTTACAATTAAAGTTCTATTTTTATTGATTTCCGGGTCACAAAGAGGAGTTCCGGCCATAATCATTTTTCGATCGCATCGACTTATCGTTGATTTTCATCATTATATACTAAGTGATCCTATACGTCTTGTACCATTCCAACTAACCGCCATCAGCATTGGTGACTGAAGTATCTAGCGATGCAAAATATGGCCGGTTGTTTGCCAATTTGGATATTATTATTATTTAAATGAAAGCTAATAATACGTATAATATAAATAGGGATGGATGATTCGATAATATCGATACGTTCAAAACAAAAGAAAATATCAAATATCGAAATTGCGCTAGGTAATACGTTTCGTATCGATTTCAATAAACATACAATTGTTTTAAAATTATAAATGACAACATGATATCTACGTCGTATTTCAATAAATAAGGTTAAATAATTTAGTATTTCTTAATTCTGAGCGAAGGTAAAAACGGTTTTACATTATGGTAGGTTTTTTCTTTCCTTTTTTTGCTTCAATACAAAACTCTACAGGAACTCTATGTAACATTTTTAATCTAGTTGGTGAATCTAAAGGATCATTTTTCGATTTTCCTTGTAATTTTCGTAATAAATGATTAATCGTGGGAAATTGATTTCATTTTGATTTTTTGATGACCATGATAACATGAGAAAAATACGACTAATAATGCTATGGCCCCATTTTTTTTTGTTTATCGATGGTTCGTACAGATAGAAATTAAATTACTCTATGTACTCTTGACTTCTGAATTCCATTCTAAAACACAGTACGAGGGTAGGGATATAATAAAATTATGTGCGCAGTGGCATGCGAACATAAGACCGTTTAGAAACTCCCATAATAGTGCTGTACATAGGTACACGGGGACGCGGTTGCTCTGCAAAAATAATAACCTAACTACTATACAAACGTAATTGAATATTATTGTTCCGGTATACGGCATGATGACGATCGGATGAACGGAGAGGGGGATTTCAAATACTCTCTCAACATGCTATTTTCACGATGTCTTTCACAATTTCACAAAGTCTCGTCTTATATATTTTGTATGCATATATATTATTTAATGGTGGTACACCTCGCCTTAAGATCTGAAATAATAATTCTTCGCGTGAAAGAGTTCAATTTACCAGATCCGGACCCCGGGGAATATATAAATAGGTGCCTACTATCTTATATATGTATATATATAGGAAAATTCGATAATGAGAGTGGGATTTGCTTTTTTAGCACATCATGTTATTATAGCGCGAGGGAAAAATAATTCTACGCGCAGACCGTTATTTTAGACTACTATTAGTTTAAATGAAATTTGTCGTTGGTTTTTTTTTGTTATCTTTTTTTTTTGTGTGTGTGCGTTTGTTTTAGACTTTTTATGCCATAAAAATAAAAAATGAAAAATAAAATCGTTCCGGCGTCGCGTAATAATAATATTATAGATATACTGCTGAATGCGTTAAATACAGATGTTACAACAAGAAGGAGAAGAAAATTTGTGAAAACCTGCACGTGCAAGTACCTGTGAGTTTTGTTAGGTAAATAAGTAGGTAGTTCGAATTAAAAAAAAAAAAAAAGGCGAGAGACGGGTAATGGGGTGTGTCACTGTTGTAGGCGGGGAGTTGAAAAGTTAGGACATATAAAGTTATTTATATTTGTAAGCAACAAAAAACCGTTGTTAACGAAAAACGGTTCTGAATTATGCAAGTTTTGAAATGCTGTAATATTTATACGATCTTCGTCAATATATGACCTTATAACGCTTACGAAAAAACTCATTACCTAATGCTCAACTTTATTATTATTATTATTATTATTTTATCACTCAGTTAAGCTTGTAATCAACCTCTTGTCGAATTAGCTACCATTTGTGTTTAATCAAACCATTTTATTTACGAATATTACCTACAAATAATCGCAAATATAAAATGCCTATGATGAATAGCTCAAAAATCTTTAAAATTTTTTAAAATATTACCACGACTATAAAAGACTAATATAAGAAGTCTAAGAAAATTTTAGTTTTCTATGATAATTTTTAACAAAAACCCAAAATCCATAAACTTGCTCATACATTTTCTACGTTTTTTTTTCGGTTTTTACAAATTATTATGAAAACTGGTTATCAAATCAAAAAGTCACTTTAGTTGTATGTGAAAGATTGAGAAAACAGGATAGAGTTGTTAAATTTGTTATTTCTATATTCAACGATAAATCA